AGCCGTTTTCTTTTTTTTCTGCACTCCGTTGCTGAGCCTGGATCTCACCGAAAAAGCAGCGACAGATGGGTCTGCTGTTCACACAGAGCTCGCCGCGTAAATGTATCTTACATGTTTGTTTTCTGTGGATAAAACGACGAACGCTGTCAAACGACCAGGATGTAACACCAGCTTTCTTTACCTGCGTTAGCTGAACTACTTCCGGGTGGCATTTTTTCACAGTAAAAGCGGAAAGAAAGGCGCGGAAGTCGCTAGGCACTACAAGCGATTATGCTTGAACTACAGCGTGTTTAAGACCTGCAAGTGTTAAAAGGAAAAGAAATATAAATAAATTGCATTACAATGCTACACTCTTGCAAACAATATAAACATTTATAAGCACTTTCAAACCATTAGCAAAAATTATGAAAATACTTAAATTATCAGAAGTAAATAATAAAAATAATAATAATAATTATTATTATTATTATTGTTGTTGTTGTTGTTGTTGTTTGTTATTATTATTACTGGAAGCAAAATGTGAACACAACTCCAACACAGCTGTCATCTTTCGCACGCAGCAACTCACAATTGACTTTTGAGCGAAACTACGCAAGAGTTCTACGTCATCAGTATGTGCGACCTACACACACTTTCAGCAGCGACGCTTAGAATTCTATGCCCACAGACTTACTATTATGCTATATTGTAATGTACATAAATGGAATGTGTATACTGTAAATACACTATTTCATCTTTCTGTATAACTTATAGTACACTACTGTAGAGGATTTGAATTGGATTTCATGAAAAGGACCCATGGATATATTTTCATAGACGAAGCAGGGTTCAATCTGGCAAAAAGGAGGCGGAGAGGCGGGAACATAATTGGTCAACATGCCATTGTGGAAGTCCCTGGCCAGCATGGTGGCAAAGTAACTGTGGGGCTCTCCAGTGTCGTGCAAACCTGGGGCCATATAACACTGCACATTTCCTTACATTTCTGGGTTGTCTACAGGATATTATGGTTGCACGTGAACAGCTGGATCAGCAAGCAGTGCAACCTGTATATGTCATTGTTTGGGACAATGTGAACTTTCACTGTGCTGTCCTGATACATGAATGGTTCACAAACAACCAGCGCTTTTTAAACGTTTCCCTTTCACCTTACAGCCCCATCCTGAATCCAACAGAAGAGTTTTTCTCTGCGTGGAGGTGGAAGGTCTATGACCGGCAGCCCTACACCGGGGAAACTTTACTGCAGGCAATAGAACACACCTGTGATGGGACAACTTTGGAGTCTAGTCAATGCTGGCTTCTGCACTCAAGAAGGTTTTTCTTATGTTGCCTGGCATGGGAGAATATTGCCTGTGATGTAGATGATGTGGATAAAGTCCTCTGGACAGGCGCCACACAAAGACATGATGATGTGGAATGAATCTGTGAATTACAGAAATGTGCTTTTAATTTAGTTTTATTTTTAATTAATTAATTTTTGTTATCTACATTCAGCACTTCATATCATTCTAATTATGGTCATTTGTTAAATACACTTAAATATTTCCTGTTAACTACATGCCCCGAATGCCGTATCTTCAATTATCTGATGTAGTGTCCAACGAACATTCTGTGGTGAATATATTTTTACTTGCTGTGTGTATGATATAAAAACATCATTTGGTTTTGAACACAGCATAACTGATTTTGAAGTGATAGCTTGATTCTGACAGAAGAATCTGAGGTTTTGTGAATGTAGTTCTGTTTAACGTTTTGAGAAAATGGGTGGAGGTTTCAGGAAATGTGTTTTAGCAATTCAGAAAAACTGGAATAATGATAATAATTACAACTTGCCTAATGAAGCGTTGATTGGCGCTTCAATGAAACTCTGGATGTCTACAAAACTATGAGCCAACTGATTTCAAAAAGCTATTTAATTTTACTGTAACACCTGCACTAATTTTCCTCCACTCTGGATTTTTTGATTTGCATATATAATTTGTGTGTTGTCATGTGTTGTGTTGGTAGTGAGACCTGCAATGATGTATGGTTTTGAGACGGCGGCCGTAAAAACAACACAGGAGGCTGAGCCGGAGATGGTGAAGATTTTCGCTGATTTACCAGGAGGCACAGGATTAGAAATGAGTATCAGAGGGATTGAGTTCAGGTTGAGAGGTTTGGAAACAAAGTTAAAGAGGCATGGGTGAGATTGTGCTGCCAGGCAGGAGAGTCTCTTGCACAGAGAGAGAGAGCTGCAATAGGAAGACCTCAAAAACATTTCTGGATGTAGTCAACATGGACAAGCTATGTTTGTGTTTGTGCGTGATTTCCCCCTCACTACACAGAAACCTTGTTTGTCTGTGTATCTCTATATTTCACTTTAATCATCTGGACAAAATCCATCAAAACATTTGAGACTCCAAAAATTCAGCTGAAATATATTTAATAGTAACAAAATAACATTAACGTATAACATTAATATCAAA